TTGAGAGAGAGACACAGAGTGTGAGTGGGGGGAGGGACAGAAAGAGAGGGAGACACAGAATCCGAAGCAGGCTCCAGGCTCTGAGCTGTCAGCACAGAGCGTGATGCGGGGCTCGAACTCCCAAACCGTGAGATCATGACCTGAGCCGAAGTCAGACGCTTAGCCAACTGAGCTCCCCAGGCGCCCCTTCGAGATGTTTTAAAAGTCATCTCTACACCCAACACAGGGCTCGAACCCACAACCCTGGGATCAAGAGTCACACGCTCCACCCACCGAGCCAGCCAGGCGCCCCTCACATGGTTAATTTCATGTTACGTGAGTTTTACCTTAATTTAAAAGCAAAAAACAAAACAAAACAAAAAAACAGTAAAAAATCAGACAATCATTGCGAAGCACTTCTTAGTCTGCAAGTAAAATAAATTTTTACGGAGAGGAATGAAGCCAAGGATGGTTACACAGGTGCTAATATTGTGTTTACTGTTAAAGAAAAAAGAATGTATGTATATTTATCTGAGAGACACCCCTTGCCCGGCAGACTGAGGTCTGGGGCTTTGTGGCCTGAGTTCAGATCTGCCTGTGTTCTTTACCGGCTGTGTTCTTCAGTGACTCTGGGACTCAGTTTTCCCACTTGTGCAATGGGGAAGATACATAGCAAAGGCCCCTAAGGGGTCTGTTAGGAGGGTCTGGCCCAGCACACAGTGCGTACTCCATGAATTGGGGGGGAGGGGGCTTGTCATGCCCAGAGAACCAGACGGGGAAGTCCTCGGGCTCCAGCTGCTCTCTCTGCCCCTCCTGGCCTGGGCCTGACCTTCTCTGGGTCTTACGGGGACCCACCACCCCCCAGCCTGATTCCCAGGCATCAGGCCAAACTCCCCGCCCAGCTGCTTCCTGTGCTCAGACAAAGAGAGCTCTGTCCTCAGGCCACCCGGCCTAGGCGGGCACAGCGCCCCACACGGCACAGATTGCAGGCAACCCCCCCCCCCCATGTCTCTTTGTCTGTCTGCCCTGTCTCCATCCCTTCCCTGGGCCTGGGCTAATGGACACCAGGGCGCCTCCTAGCCCAGGGCACACACAGTGGAGTCGTGTCTGTGGGAGGGGACTTTGGGACCGCACAGAAAGTGGTGGGGAGGCGGGGGCGTGTGGGAAGAAAGAGCGGAGCTGGAGTAACTCAGACATTCCATCATGACCTCAACAGGGTGACAACAGTGCGGGGTGCTCAGCGTAGCAGGGACGGGTGACAACTAACAGGAACAGGGGATGATGGACAGGCAGCGTGACGGCAACAGGTGACAAGGAGGAGACAGTGTGACAGCAACAGGTGACCATGAGGAGATAGGCTGACAGCGACAGATGACACCGTAATAAGAGAAAGCCCCTGGGGATCCATGTAATGTTGGTAGGGAGGCTGGGATACGGTGATAAAGGACAATAAGGAGACAGTGTGTGAAAATGACAGGTGGCAGTGGGGAGGCAGTGTTGGGATGAGAGAGGACGACATCAAGATAGTCTCTGATGGTGATGGATGGTGGCAGGAAGATGTCAGAAGGTGTGACGGGAACAGGTTGGGAACGACACGGCATACAGGACCTTTGTCATCTATGTGGCCATCAGGTGACCCAGTGACCTTTCCCTGGGTCTGGGAAACGAGCCCCTCACGAGACACATCCCCTGACAGAACCTCTAGATGCCAGATCCCATTTTCCGGCTCCCTCACAGCAAGGCGGGGACACACGCCCCCACGCTCCCCCAGCCAGTCACCCCTGCCCCCAACTTTGGCAGATGCCGATGTTGGAAGAAGTTGGGGCCCCCTCAGACTCCATTTTGCCGAGGTGGTGGGGAGGAGGAGGGAATGGAAGGTATCTTTGTGGGACCAGATCTGTGGGCGACTTGGGCATCACTCTGCCGGCTGTGGAACCCCCAAGCTCGGGTCTCCAGCCTCCCCGGGGGGTCTGTGCGCGACCAAGAGCCCTTTCTGCGGAGGGTGACTTCTCCTGCTCGCAGTGTGAGGACGCCAGCCCTCTGGGTGATGGTGTGATCGTTCATGGGTCACAATGTCACAGCAACAAGGTGTAGAGATGACAGGGGAACACCATGAAGGTGACAGGCAGCAAAATCACCAGAACACAACAAGGTGTCCCGTTGATGGGTGACAATGAGAGGGTGACAGCCCTGGGTGACAGTGACGGGAGGCCTTGGAATAGGGTATTGGTGATGCTACAACTTGGACAGGGAGACCGGGGCTGCTCTGCCCTCATGACAGACAGTGTTGGGGTGGCACCGGGATGCTTCTGGGACACCCCGTGCCTATCCCTGTGTCCGTGCAAGACACATCTATTGGCTGAAGAGCGGCCCAGGATGCACCTTGACAAAGGAGCCTGGGAAGAGGGGACGGAAGTGTCCCCAGAAGTTGGCTCATCCCCGCAGCCTCTGGGCCCTCCCACACTAGAATCCCACCCGTCAGCTGCTCTTCTGGTTAATCCTGGGGTTCCTTCCATAGCCCCGCCCCCCGGGGGACCCCATTCCCTCTGCCAGGATGTCCTGAACCTTGTCCCTGAGGTTTCCCTCTGTCTCATGCCCCCCCCTCCCCCAGCCCAGTTCTAACCCCCACAGCGCAACTCTGGGGTGATTCTCACCATGGAAGCCCACCATGTCCGGGGGGAGCCCCCTGAGGGCTCCTCTGCTTACCCGGCCAGATTCCCTCTTTCCCTTTCTCTGCTCCCCCAAAGCTCCAGCCTCGTTCAATTCCTGCGTTCTCCACGCTCTCCTGTCTCCAGGCCTTTACCTAAGCTATTTCTTCCCCTTTTCCGATCTGCCCCTTTCTACTGAGCCCCAAGCCTCCCATCCTCAAACAGAATGCCCCTTCCCTCCCCATCCCTATCCAGGGGATCCCTCTCTCCTGCCCAGGAATGTTGGCGTCTAGGTCTGCCTCCCCGGACCCACACTGGGAGATTATGAGTATCTCCCTCATAGGGTTTTTAGTTACTGAACGAGATAATGTGTACCACACGCTTAACACCAAGCCTGGCACGTCAGCATCCATTAAACATGAGCTCAAATTACTTTTACTATTTATTTATAACATTCTGGAAGTGCCGTGATGGAGACACCATCAGCGCAACCAGCTTTGGGAACGTAATAGGGTAAGCTAACAATTTGGGAGTAGGGAGGGGCTTTTAGAACCGGGCTCTGCCAGACGCATAGGAGTTTGCTGAGCGGCATTAACAGTTTCAGGTCCACCCAACTGCCCTGACTGGATCCCCACCTTGAGGGGCAGCGGTGGTCTCAGTTCTCAAAGGTGGAAAAGTGGTGGGTGGAACTTACAAATTTTCACCGGGAATGCACAGCCCAAACAGGCAGCCAAAATTCTGAAGTCTGGGCCCCTTTGACAGGTAGAGAAACTGAGGCCCAGAAAGTCTAGACCTGTTGGATTCTTAAACTCTTCATTTGGAGAATCAGGTGAAAACCGTGGGCCTTCTCAGGAAGGCCACCTTTGCCCAATGGTTTGCCTACATTCTTAGGGGCCTCCGGATCTTGGTTAAGAACCCAGGCTCCAGGCGCGGCCAGGTGAGTTTCCAACGTCACCCTTGGAATTCTCCTTGCCCGCCCGAGGGAAGGGGAGGTGGCTTGGGACGACGAAGGGCGGCCTCCTAGGTGAGTCCCGGGACCTCCCGGCCCTGGCTGGCTTCCCGGCCGCCCCAAATCGGAGCCCCGCCTCAGGGCTACCTCCAGATCAATTCCTATCCGAACACGCGGTTCCTGCAGCCCCACCCCCCCACCCCCCT